CACCTGTCTCCACCAGGTGCGCTACCCCCCCCCCCCCCCCCGAGACCTTGGCCTCGAGTCTGTGTGGATTTTTAAGGACTTTTAACCCATTCGCGACGTACATGTCACGTGTCCGTGTCATGCCCACTGTGAGTTTACTTGTTTAATTGTTTTTTACACATAGATGGCTACACTTGTACTAAATCACCAATGAGCCAATTACGAGTACTGCCTGTCTCGCCCGTTTACCCTTTTCTTTAATTTACGAAAATATTTTACGTTATCTTATTTTGCTATTACTAATGTTTATAACTTTATAGTAATTATAATGTTTATAATAAAAGTAACACCATCGATATTCATAACACTAGTAAAAAATACATTTTTCCGCCAATTCAAGAAGATATTAAATCAGTGTAGAGACATTTCACAAAAAAATATAAAAAATGAGCACAGCATTTTCCTCATTTTTTATTCATTTTCCTCGACGGTAATGAGTTGAAATTTTGTAAATGCTTTCTCTACATTAACGTTTTTCGTAGTTGGGAAAACGGAGAATATACAATCTCCCGGTTATCCAAAATGAGTGAAAATTTCGTCAGATAAAAAAAAAAGAAAAAAAAATATATATATATTTTCTTCGTTTTAACCTATACGAGGTTGTAATGGTGGTGGTTGTGGTTGTGTCGTTGTTACTGATGACTGTGGTTGTCGGTGGTGCTTTTACACAGACATTAGTAAAGATTACGGTTGTATTAGTTATATTAGTGGTGTAGCGGTCCTCCCCCCCCCCCCTTCCATCCTCTCTCTCTCTCTCTCTCTCTCTCTCTCTCTCTCTCTCTCTCTCTCTCTCTCTCTCTCTCTCTCTCTCTCTCTCTCTCTCTCTCTCTCTCTCTCTCTCTCCCTCCCTCCCTCCCTCCCTCCCTCCCTCCCTCCCTCCCCACCTGTCGATGTCTGATGGGTAACAAGGCTCCTCGATTTCATAAGCATGCACGGGGAGTTCCGGTCCTTGGCTTAGTGTGGACGGAATGACTTATTGCAGGAGGAGAAAGCGTGGGATGGGGGGGGGGGGAGGACTGAGTGAAAGAAAGCAAGTCAAGAAACGAAAATTTAAGAAAAACGCGAAGTTAACAGGTGTTAGTCGTCCATGTCTTGAGAGTTAATGGGATATATGGAGAACTTTTGCTTATTTGTCTTATATTCCTAAATTCTGTTTGTGGCTAAAAATAGAAAAGGTCACAATACAACATATGTATTTAACCGGTTCTGAATTTATGCATTTCTGACGAAAATTATTCGAATCTTGTTACTTTTTTAAGATATTCGTTCTCATTCATAGAAGAAGAAGAAGAAGAAGAAGAAGAAGGAGGAGGAAAAAGTAGTAGGAGGAGGATTAGAAAGAAAGAGAGAGAAAAAAAAAAAGGGAAGGGAAAAAGAAAAAGATAAAGAAATTCCAAAAAAAAAAAAAGAAAATGAAGAAAGAAAGAAAGAAAGACGAGAAAGAGGAAGAGAACAAAAGAATAGGAAATTATAATACCTACTCTTAATTTGCAAATAATATCTCAACAACCATCAATTAATCATTCACGACCTTTCTTTCAAATGATTACTCCTTTCATCCTAATTTTGCACTTCCATCCAAATTCAAGGGAACAAGAGACCAAGATTCAGCGATTTTCATTATAATTCAAACCTATCTACGTCATTCCGGTGATAGAGATGATAGATGGTGATAGATGAAGACAGATTTGATTGAGGAGAGAAAAAGAAGGGGAGAGGAGAAGAGGTGAAAAAAGGAGGAAGGGAAGAGAGGAGGAAGAGGAAGAGAAGTAGAGGTAGGAGAAGGGGAGATGAGAGGGAGAAAAATATAATGAGGGCAGAGAGGAGGAAGAGGAAGAGAAAATTGAGGAGAAAAAAAAAGAAGGGGAGAAAAATATAATGAGGGAAGAGAGGAGAAAGAGGAAGAGAAATAGAGGTAGGAGAAGGGGAGATGAGATGAGGAGAAAAAAATTATCCAAGAAGGAGAGGAAGAAGAGAATGATGCATAAGGAATGATATGTTAAATGGAGAAACAAGAAATAAAAAGAAGAAAAATAATGAAAAAATGTGTGGGGGGTGGATGAGCAGAAACAGAAAAGGAAGAGAATGAGAAACAGTAAAAAAAAGAAGGTATAAAGAGCGAGAAGAAAAAACAAAAATAAAACAAAGACAGAATGACGAGAGAGCTGAAAATAAAAATACAATTGCGATAATAATAGTGAGACAGAAGGCTACCAAACTACAAGAAAGAAAAGAAAAGAGGTAAAGAAAATTAAAAGAAAATCTGAAAATGGGGGAAGAAGAAAGAGAAGAGAAGACACAGGAGTACAAATCTGACTAGAAATACCGCCAATAAGGTAGAGGGAGAGAAAAAAGAAAAATATGCGCAGGTATACGAGGGGAAAAAAAATACCAACAATTCCTTGTAGAGACAATGTATTCTTCTTAAAGTACAGCAAATATTCCAAAATCATTTATCAACCATCATTTTCTACTTCAAATACGATTGCATTTGCAAAGAGTACCAATAACAATCTGAAAACTTTTGTTCAAGTTACATTGTCCTTTCTCACTGCCCTTCCTTTTATCAAATCTATATTCAGCCAGTTTTTGTAGTGCAATATCTTCTACTATATTTCACCACTTCTTCCATTACTAATATCCTATTCAAAATTTATTAAAAAATAAATAAGTAAAAGCATCTTTTACTTCACTTACTTAGCTTTAGTGAAAGAAATCAAATTTGCACTTTGTGCTGTTTGTGGCAATACCACTTGGAATAAAATCAATCATGCATCTAATTGCAAATCAGGAATTAGACCTGTCAAGATTTCCATGAAACTCGCCAGTATGTTGAAATTTCCACATGATACATTTGGACTATTTGAAAGCATATAACAAATGATTATAATAATGGTAATTTTCATGTAAATGTAATATCTCTGGGAAATTTAGCCATTTGCATTTCCTGAATACTGGATTTTTTTTTTCTCACTTTTAATCTAACACAGATCATTTCCTCTGAATTCTATGTTTAAACAAAAGAAAAAAAATTGCACTCACTCCAATGAACTGACATGCAAGACAAAAAAAAACAAATATGCAAGTAAAATTATGTACTAATATTACTTGTTATTTTGCAAGGGCATTTTTGATCAGTTCACATTCTTAAGCGATCAAACCATATTGTCATCTTACAATTTATACTGTTGCTGAAACACCCATACAGTAATGAAAAGTTTTCTTTGCTACCCAAGAGAAAAATATGAATGCTTGTCACAAAATGAGTTGCAATCTGAATAAGACTTTTCAGGTGAATGAACAATTGACTGATAGGTTGAATATTAGTCAACATATGAACGCTGCATGACATCCAAAAAATTAGTAGCTTTCATATTAATGCTTTCATATACATAACTCTGGGTCTTTAACCAAAAATTGTGCACTTAAGAAATCAGGACAGCCTTGTGGTGTCCTTACGGCAAAAAGTTCCAGAAAACAATTTTGTGTGTTATCTATAAGACATACTATACATATGACAATTTATGGCTCTGACATACTCTATGTCACAGCACTTTCTGTAGCCTGGGGCTACTGTATGTCACATGTGAATTCTGCAGAGCCGTTTGCCATTATCTTAAATCTAATAGGTTACATAGCCTACAGTGAAAAGTCACAAATAT